AGACTGTGGATTTAACTCCGATGGAAATTAAGGACCTTCACAGACCTCACCATCTTCCACTCCAAATGGACAGTGCATTTGTTCACCTTTACTACTATAAACCCTCAGCAGTCTGTACATTGGAAAAACAAGCCCCTTCCAAAACAAAACATCACACTGCAAAGATAATTTTCCCTCTGAGGAGAGGAAGAATCAATTACATATGACAGATGACGTGAATAGAATAGAAAAGTGTCCAGAGGAAAAGGAGTCTGGGAATATAGAGCCTAGTCCTGTAAACTCTTCTATATGTAGAACTTGGTTTCGATAGGACTATTCACAGCAGTGTTTATTGTAACAGCTTCTTGGTGAATATTTTGTGGATATGCCAATACAATCTGATTTGCTCCATGGAGCTCATAGATAAACTTGTTAAGTTGCAGAGGGGTAGCCATTTTAGTCTGATTCTGCAAAAACAACAAGGAGTCCTGTGTCACTTTAAAGACTAAAATCTGACAAAGTGGTTTTTACCCACCAAAGCTTATGCCCAAATAAATCTGTTAGTTGTTAAGGTGCCACATGATTCCTTGTTTTTCCATAAACTTGTTAATGAGAAATGTAAGTGCTTTGATCTAAGCAGGGTGCTAATAATCCAGGACACAACATTTACCAGTCAGGCACATTACTACCAAGTATTAGCAACAAAAGTAGTTATTCTATGGATTACCATTGTGTGCATGCATCGGTGTTTTCGTTTAGCTGTGTTGCAGCTGAAGTTCTTGATTCTGAGCTCCAAGGAAGGGTCCTCTTTTCTAGAGTGGGCTGAAGTCAAAGTTTGGTGGTCTTGGGGAAACTTCCAGTGGCACTACATAAAACATAAAGCAGAAGCAGCGGGGAGGAGAAATGCTAGTCCTTCAGCATAGACCATATCAATGACCAATGATACTACCAGTGTTCAGGCTAGCAGATGAATGAGAGGAATAGATACTATGTTTACTGTGCTCTGCTTTTGCATTTCCAACATATTTTTACTTTGATTTCTTTATACTGAAGCAACACATGAGAATGAGGGAATCCTATCTAGAGAGTCAGCCTTGGGAATAGGCAAACTGGTTAATTCACTAGGGTGCCAAAACCCGGTAGCATCCATTGGAGTTAGAGGTGAATCTGTATCCATAATTGCAGTGTTTTTTCTAAAATATTTGCATGTTTTTTCCTATTTCATACCTGTTGAAAAGAATGTATCTTACTCCAGTGGGCATTTTTGTTGCTTGTTCTTAGGGCTGTTTGAAATTTAATCTTAAATAGCTTGAATTTTCTTTTTCTATTAAAAGTAATCAGTGTGTCATGTAATAAAATGGACTACATTGCATCCATAGCCTATATATTACTTTATATAAGTATTCTACACCTCTGAGTTTGTATTAGCAGCATAACCTAAACAAGTCACACACTGAAGAAAGCAGCCCTCCCAACGTGGACAGACAAATGAAGGGGTTTCCTAGCAACAAGAACTACATGATGGCTCTCAAATCAACTTCTCTGCCTGGGTCAGGTTTCCCTCCACATTAATGGCTCTCATGGAAGACCTGGAATCAAGATGCCCGTGCCTCATTAGGTTACTAACTGATGGTCTAATGTTGATGAAAAGTGAGAACACCCCTAAGACACCATCTGTTTCATTAAAGTGTGACATCCTAGTGTTTATCAGATGTGCTAGATAATAAAATCAACCAAGTACAGTAACTAATCCATATTAGAAAAGTGCTGCCTGTGCTACTCCTTGGACGTTCCACTAGAGTTAGACAGCTCTGTTGGCCAATGCACCAGTTAGGAGTAGGTACAGGCTGGACTGTGGCTCCACCTTTGCCATCTCTTCTTAAAGTTTTTGAAGCAGTGAATGCCCATCAGGAGTTGAGCCCTGGTCAACCAGCATAAACACTCAAGGGGCTCACCAATGCACAAGGTGGAAAAGAGGCTTCTGGCATCCTCTTCAGGGCAGGGGAGATGCTTTCCACATCCACTCTAATTCTTCGATGGTTTGAGTTTAGTTTAGTTTCGAGTTTTGGCTGAGGTATGGCCAATGCTTATTTATTTTTCCAAACCACTTCTCCCAGCTGCAGCCTAAGGTGGCTTTGGACCAGGTTACGTGCCTCTATTCCCAGGATGGACTACAGCCATTGGCATCAGCAGAGATGGGGGAACTGGAGCTTGCTTGCTACAGATGGGAAGGAAGAGCTGGCTGTGTGCGCTTCATCAAGGTTCTGATTCTGGAATTCATCCTTCTACCTGATCCACCAGAGCCCAGATCTATTATTTATCAGAGTGACGCTGCAAGCCTCTTCTTTCCTCCCAGCATTTGTGGAGGGGGTCCACTGAGGGCTTGAGAGGGTCTGTTATTTTTCATGGACATATTAGAATGGAAGACCAATGAATTCCAGACATGTACCAAGGAATGCCACAACATGACCAACAAGCACATGGGAGCCAGAAACATGAGTGGCATGACAAGACTGCCATTGATGGACACAAACTGAATATCCAGTCAGACCGCCCTAAGGACTTAGGCAAAAATCGATCTGGGTAGCACTTGATCTGCAAGGAAGCTACATCCCATTAGGGCTTGCTCTGATGGTTTGTTTTGGGGAAAGAGAGATTTCTATCTGGAAATAGGTACTGAATTTACACCTTTTGAATGTTTTTGCGTGATTAAATAATGTCATGGTACACAGGGCCTGATCCTGCCCCAATGTAGTCAGGGAGAGTTTGCCGCTCGTTTTGATGGAAGCAGGATTGGGCCAAGAGAGCCTGGGATGGAATTTTTTTTCCTGTTTGCTTAAATAGAATTATAGGGATCTTCTTTTGCCCCTTCCAGGTACAAATACACTGGGCAAGATTCTGCTCTTGTTTATACATGTGTGTCATCTTAAGGGGGTCCACTTGCAGATGGACCCCCACTGATGAATGAACGAAGACTCCAAGTCTATATGTTTATATAAATAGCAAGCACCTATGTTTGTCTAATTTACGGTAGTATTTCATTGTTTCTTAATTATCACTTCAACGGTTTATTCTGTCGAAGTTCTTTCTGTCTTTTTCCTCTTTTTTTCTTTTCTCGCCTGCATTGTTTACCTTTAAGTTGTGACTATTTTTGTTAGTGATATGAAACTGTCCTATGTGACACACAATCACAACTCTTGAATGTAACACCAAAAGAAAAATAATTGCTTTAGGGGAAAAAAAATTGGGCATTGTCTAGCTACAATGAGGTGGCTGAAAAGTTAAGAATTAAGAAATTAAATTGTCGTCTAATCCTTGCTACGGTGGACTTATCCATCACATGAATTTTAATGATCAAAATACTACATAGTACTATGCTTCTGATTCAAAGGTGCATGATTCTGTATAGTAATTAAATGGGAGCAGAACCACTTTCAACTATTTTACAGCTGTTGTCTGTGCCCAGCCAGTAGGAACTAGTCTTCAATATGATGAGTAAAAACTCAGGAAATAAATCAAGATGTTAGATCAACTAAAAACAAGACTTGGTGCAAGAGTTTTCTTCTGCTCCCTTGCCAGCAAAATCAAAAGGGCCCTCATTTATTTTGGTGATCAGTCTATTAATAATACTTCTCATTGTGAATCTGAAGTTCAGATATTGGTTTTGGTTACAAATCAGCTGAGTAACCATGAAATCCTAGCAGAAAATTTAAACAAACAAAGCAGATCAGGAGTGTCCCACAGAATCGGTTAAAATTGAAGTGAAGAACTCTGCCTCTCCAAAAACAACCCCCCTCTTGTAAGACTGGGCTGCATACTCTCTTACTTAAAGGTCACATTTTACAGGCTGGACCTCCCCGGTCCAGCACCCTCGAGACCTGACCTTTCCTAGAAAGAGAGTTTGCCAGACCAGGAGAGATCTGGTGGGGGGGGAGGCTCACTGCTGGGCTCCTCTCCCCAGACCTCTTGGGCCATGAGCTGTGGTGGCCCCATGGGAGTTCCCAGGGCTATGGGCTCTGGTGCCCCACTGGCCCTGCTGGCTGACTCCACTCTAAGCTGGCAGCAACCTCTATCGTGGGGGCACTCTAGTCCAACAACATCTGGAGCAGATGTTGCCAGACTAGAGCATCCCAGTCCACACAGGTTCAACCTGTATTTCATTTCCCCCTATATATCATGCTTGCTCATGAGTGTTCGACATTGGGACATATGCTGTTCATCCGTACTGGTAAAAGAAGATCTAATCCAAGCATTTCCTTTATGGGGAATGGAAATCCTTGTTATAATACAGAAACCTCAAGTAGGCATAGAAAGTGGAGACGTCTTTATACTTAATCAGTAAAGGCAGGTACAAGATGGACATGTTTGTGGTTTGGACACGTCTCTGTGTATATGATCTTGTAGTCTGAGCAGGAGACAGGACAACTGGGATCTATTTCTAACTGGCATCTTTCAGATGTGGATATTATATTTGTATTTCACAGGGATGCTGTGAGGCAGACCTCTGTGTAGGTGAAAAGTGTTCTAAGTATTGTATTAAGGAGTGTGGGAAAAGGGTTCTGTTTGATATAGTTCTTACTTAGGCAGAATTGCCATTGACATCAGTGGGAGTTTTGATTGCGTGAAGGTTTCATATTCTGGTGTGGAGGCACTGACTGGGTCTATAGTACAATGAAAGCTTTGTTATCCTGCACTCATGGAGAATGGGGGTTGCTGGTTAATTGAATGTGCCAGATAACAAAGCTTATTGCTCTGCCTACCAGCAGATCTGGCTCCTGCCAACTTGAGGCAGGCTGAGGGGGAAGGAGGTGCCTGCTGATGATGTCAACTGGCTTTTCTGGCATTCAGACACTCTACAATGACTGTCAGGACAGGCAGGAGTCAGGCATACATGCCTGAAGACATGGCAGTGTTGTGACGGGGGACAATGCTAGTTAACAAAGTTTGCTGGTTAACAGAGTGCCAGATAACAAAGCTTTCACTGTATGCCTTTTTTTTTCTCCCTGTCTGCATATATACAGGAGCTAATGCATCTGCTCCTGACCAACTGAGCCTAGCTTTGGCCTGGAACAGAGTAGACATCGCTCGGAGTCAGATCTTTATTTATGGGCAACAGTGGCCGGTACAGTATATACCATCTTCTATAGAAAATGTTTAAAATCAGGCAAGAAAATGAATGCATTTTTTAAAAAACAGACTAATATGGGGTTTCCAAAATACTGAGATGTTTAGAATCCAACCCAAGTTTTCCTGCTCAGAGCCCCTGAAGACAGGGTAGATCACAAAAGTGCCCTGCTCTTCTTAAAGGAAATGATGCCATTTAATGATGCATCCCACTCTGTGGCCATTCCTTCCAAGAGATAATACACACACACAAAGCTATATTTAAAGTGGTTCTACAAACTACCATGGAGTGCCTGCTGCAAACTGTTTTGTATGCAAAAAAAACCAACAACATTAAAATATGGTTATGTGGAAAGTGATTTTTTAAAAACTTTTCTAAACATCCATGCATCATTGTATGCTATAGCTTATGATACTATCTCATGATATAGTACACCAAAATTATGCTTCACACCTATCAGGTATCAGACATTAGTGATCAGACCTCCCAGAGCCACTGTATCAGAAAACTGCTTATGTTGAAATGTATTCTCCATGTTTGCTACTCACAAAGACCGGAATTTTCAAAGGAGCCTTGCTAGCCAGTTTTTCAGATTACATGAATATTTCTCTTGCTTTCTCCATTGGAATTAAGCATGCAAAACACATGTAGCAGAGATGTTGCAGGGAAACCTTGATTAGATGATTCCAAACAGCCACACATGTCTCTCCATCACAAAACCACAGTGGCAATCTGTCTAAGAGCTAGGGTGTGAAATCAGTTTTAGCTTTGTACCACGGTAAAAGCTGTAGGTACAAAGTACTTTCCCAAAAGAGGAGGCCGCCTGGGCTATGAATATAATGGATATGATCTATCTGTTGCATGTGGCTCTTCTTGGAAAAGCTGTTTATAGTGGCTTCCCTGCATTCAAATCCTCGCTGGGTGCTTGTGCTACAGTATTTACTTAATAGGAGGTAGGACTGAATGAGCACAAAGTGCAAAATCAAAAGCAACGTAAAATGTTTGTCAAGAAAGTGAAAATAATAATGAGAAATTGACAAGGCTAAGTGACTTGAACTGAACCTCTCAGCCTAGCTGACAAGGCTACCTAAGAACTGAACCTTTCAGTTCATAGGGCCTGATCCAGGTTTATCTAAGTACATTGCTCTTATTACCCAGATATGTTCATTTTTGTATTGCTACTTTGAATCAGGGAAACCAAAATAGATGTAAAGTGTGATGATCTCCTTCTGAGTTCAGCAAGTGAAGGGAATTCTGTCCAAACACCAACCCTCCTCATGCTAGAATGACAATAGTGTTTACAGCAGTGATTCTCAAATGGTGGGTCCAGGACCCTGAAGTGTGACCCTATTTAATGGGGTTGCCGGGACTGGCATTAGACTTGCTGGGGGGCAGGAGCCCAAGACCCTACAACCAAGGCCAAAGCTTGACAGCATCAGTCCTGGATGGCAGGGCTTAGATTACAGAGCCCCTTCACATAGGGCAGAAACCTTTGGGCTTTGGCTTTAGCCTCACTGGATTTGGGCTTTGCCTCCTGCTTGGGGCAGCAGGGCTTAGGCAGGCTCGGTCCTTCAGTCCCCCCTCCTGGGGTCGTGTCGTATTTTTTCGTGTCTGACCGAGGTCATGGTACCCTGAAGTTTGTGAATCCCTGATCTCTAGACTGGAATGTCGTATTTTTTCGTGTCTGACAGAGGTCATGGTGCCCTGAAGTTTGTGAATCCCTGATCTCTAGACTGGACTCTAAATGCAGGACCACTCTGGATAAATCATTTCCTTTGCAGGTGGGGTCTCTTGAGCAGGCAATGCTGGATGCCTTGGTGTTGGACAGAGTGGATTTTGTGAAATTGCTCATTGAGAATGGAGTAAGCATGCATCGGTTTCTCACCATCTCCCGACTAGAGGAACTGTACAATACGGTAGGGCCAAGCTAAGGCAAATTTTCTGTCTGTTTGTTCATCTGTGTCACCACTACCCCCATGCTACAGTGACACCATGGTGCACAGCACAGCAAACGCCTTCTCCACAAACGTGTTAACATTTTCTTGCATCACAAACTAACATTGCTCACATCAGGAAGTGTGGTTAAATAAAGGTCATTGAAGCTGCAGATTGCTCTGGGTGGTTGCTGGGAGTTGTAGTTCATTATGAAAGAGGTTGGCAGGGAAGCTGTGAGCAAGATAGGACCTAAGGATGATGCCGCATGACTCCCGTGCATGCCAGATCCCAAGAAAAAATATGTTGGTTTTTTTGTTTCTCTGATTTTTGGTCCTTGAAATCCACGAGGCCAGGTAGAGAGTGGCAGTGTTGCCAACTCTTGTGATTTTATAGTAAGATTAGCAACATTTGGTGGATTTTTTTTAAGCTCCATCTGCTGAAAACATTACCTGAAAATAAGAAAATGAGACCTTCTGTTAGAAAAACAAATATTTTAGCCCTTGTGGTTGCAGAGAAAAGCTTTCAGATTTGTATTCTAAGTACTCTAACACCAAAAAGTTTATAAACATAATTCTGTATATTGTGTTATTGCGAGAATATGTTAAAAAAACAGGACTTTAACAGGGTTCAAAAAAGAACCAGATGAATTCATGGAGGTTAGGTCCGTCAATGGCTATTAGCCAGGAGGGGTAGGGGTGGTGTCCCCAGCCTCTGGGAATGGGCGAAGAGGGGTGGATCACAAGATAATTTCCTGCTCTGTTCATTCCCTGTGAGGTATCTGGCTTTGGCCACTGTCATCAGACAGGACACGGGGCTAAACGGACCTGGTCTGACCCAGTCTGGCCAATCTTAAGCGAGGTTCAGACTGGTGGCTGGGAGGAACAGGGTGGTGAATAGCAGCGACTACTCAGGCACATCCCGAGACTGGTGGTTGCGTTCTGACTTAGGGTTTTTGAGTGTCTGGAGATGGTAATACCATCATAATAAATGTCACCATTTTTGCAATCCCCAAATTTTCCAAAATTAAGTTTTTACATTTACAAATGTTATTACCAAATGTTTTTCTCAAGAAAGCAAAAGTCCTTGAATCAAATGTTTATGTATTGCAGTGCTTTAGTTGCTTACAGCACTTCCCACAACAATGCTCCTCTCTGTGCCCCCCCCTCCTCAAAACAGCATGTGACCAAAAAAATTATTTGAGTGCTTTTTGAGAAAACTCCTGATTCACATCAGTGCTTGGTTCTGATTATTTCTATTTCAATCCAACTGAAAGGACCTTTTCACACAGCTTTGTACCACTTACCACCTAGCCATAGGGCTGAACTGGAAAGAGGATGCTGCAGTTCTGGAAGCTCTGAGAGGAGCTGCAACATCCTCTTTGCAACTCAACCCTATGGCTCGGTCATCATCTGTGTTTTCCCCTTCCAGCATCTTCCTCAGTGGCAAGTTGTGGGGACCCAGGCCCACCCACTACTCAAAACGCAAATCCAGGGACCCTGTAAATAGCATATTATGGACTTGGGGAACATATATTCCTAATGTATTTATAGTGGCCAGAAGTTGGTGTCTCCAATATATCAAACATTAAAAGACTTAATTCAAAAACATAATAGACAAACTAGAATCTATACTGCCCTTACACCAAAGGTACAGAGTGCTTTTTGATTGGCTTGTCCCAGGTTAAACAATTAATTGAGAAAAAACTGAGAACTTTCTGAAGGAAGGACAAAGCTCTGCTATTGTAGTTACCGACTGAAGTGCTACTGATTAGTAGAAACAAAAAACAGGACTATGTAGCACTTTAAAGACTAACAAGATGGTTTATTAGGTGATGAGCTTTCGTGGGCCAGACCCACTTGATCTGAGGAAGTGGGTCTGGCCCACAAAAGCTCATCACCTAATAAACCATCTTGTTAGTCTTTAAAGTGCTACATGGTCCTGTTTTTTGTTTCAGCTACACCAGACTAACACGGCTACATGTCTATCACTGATTAGTAGGTGTGTGCCTGTTTGGATGGTTGATTAACCAGGAAAACTTTACATGAATGGAGCCCCTTCCAGAGTTCACATTTTTTCCTGCATGGCTTCTAAGGCAAAACTGTTTCTTTCTCTCTCTTTCTGTCATTTACAGAGACATGGACCGTCCAACACTTTGTATCATCTAGTGAGGGATGTCAAAAAGGTAAGAGTCCAATAGACGGTAGGTTGGAGATAATGTCATGATAGCGTCTCATAATTAGAGACAGTCTCTGTTTTGCATGAACTTTCTGAGCATTCCCCAGTTCCTTTCTTCCCCCATACTCCCATCCACCATGCCATTTCAGACTGCATTGTTTGTATAGAATTTGAAACTCTTGCACACAATGCACAACTAAAAAGTTACTGGGCTTGCTATCTCAGTGGTTTTAGATGCTTTCAATACAGCGCTTTTGCTAGTGGAATTGTAGGCTTTTTCATGCCATGTGGATTTATGCTTTTATCTGTATTTTTCTATACCCACGACTATTTTGGAAGCTTAATATCCATGTTGTCAATCAAACCCTGAGATTGTAATAGATCTATAATTTTTATGCTCAATCTTGATCCACAACATTTCCAGTTCCGTCTTCTGTGATACGCTGTAAAGTCCTCCATCTTAAACAGCATTGAAAAAGGGATAGTGCAGTAAAACAAGACGACAGCTTGTCTCTTCCCCATTATCAGAAATTTCAAGTGAATTTCAGGCATCTTGAACTATAAAGGCTGCAATGGGGCTGAACCAGTCCACTTTCTTTAGCAATACTGTTGGGAGAAATTTGTCATGGGGTCAGAAATAAAGGAAAAACTGGTATCTTCTGTATGCAGATGGTTTCAAGTAAGGAACTGTAACCCGGTGCTTACCACATCACCTTTAATTTTCTTTCAAAGGGTGTGTAAACTGCAGACATAATCAGTGCACATTGATGCCTGTATTTCTTTAAGTAACTTGTGCTGCCAAAGGGGATTCTCTATATACAGACTAACCTGAAAAATAATAGAAGGAGGAGGGAGATTTTTTTGTCGGAGCACAAACCAATTTTGTGGTGTGCCTTTCATCAGTGAAAGTTAGACAGAGTTAATGGGGTTTTGGTACAATTGACATTTAGGGACCTTTAAATATCACAGTGTAATGGCAAATGTTTGGTACAATGCTACTGTATTTAATAATGTTACAGAATCATAATTATATTAAATAATAATAGTTTTGGGGAGTCAGGCTATTTGGTTCTGCCATGCACAAATGGAAATAGCTAATGGCACTGCCCCATTGGTTCTGCCATGCACAAATGGAAATAGCTAATGGCTCTGTATGAAAGGATTAAAGCATAAAACCCTATTCCACCTCAAAATCTGATCACACCCCATTTAGACCCTTTGTTTCAGTGGCATTAAATAGGAATTACACTGGTATAAAGGAAAGCAGAATCAGAGACCCTCCAAGTTCCTATTGCCCACCTCTTACCTGCCACCCCTTGGCCTGTAGTGTGGAATGTAATGGCCAAAGGGCTGTTTGTACATGAGGCAGAGGAAGAACTTTCGTAGGAATAGCTAAACCATAGACCTCAACCTTTAAAAAAAAAAAAAAAAAACCTCTTGGGTGCAGTTTACCACTTTGATGTGGTGCCCTGGATGCTTTCTGAAGAAACTGAGTAATGGTGGACCTCAGGGGCTTGTCATGGAGGTGCCAGGCTTGGTTTCTGGAGGGAACCATAGTTCCCTCTAAGGCACATGCCTGCACAGGCACGCACCAAAAATTTGCCTCATGCCCACCTCCTCAGCAGAGCTGCACAGAGGCAGCTCAGCTGCTCTGAGGTGGGGCCCATGTGGCAGGCAGCTGCCC